TCAAAATCAAAAGTTATCAAAACAAATTCTATGGGACTGAGAAGTATTATTTTCTACTTTTTAATCCATTTATAAAAGCGTTGTATATTAAAAGGTTTTTTTTTATATTATTTATTTTGTAATATAAATAGCTTTCAGCAACCACCACCATGTTTTAGGCCAACCGATCTATTCGAAAAAATCTTATTATGGTCCTATTTGCCTAAAATTTGCTACGTAGGTAGCTTTTTACCTAGATTAGCTTATAGGAACCTTTTTTTTCGGGAAGTGGACCAGGGATCGATCTATTCGAAAATAACCGTATTTTGGTCCGATTTTCTTTAAATTTGGTATATAGGTAGCTTTTCGCCTAGATCAGCATATATGATTCTTATTTTCCGCGAAGTGGACCAGGAACCGATTCAATCGAAGAAATCGTATTTATGGTCCGATTTGCTTAAAATTTGGTACGTACGAATTTTGTAAGTTTTGAATATACATACATACATTTTGTTTTAAATGTTCTACCTTCAATAAGAAGAATGTAAATGAATAAGGGAAAAACATTCAAATCATTCAAACTCATTTCGGTACATAAAAGTTTTTTCTACAAACAAGTTTGTTCGTATTGTAATAGGCATGATAAAAACATTACAAGGTAAAATCATTGAGAGGCAGTCTGACGTTTGCCAACATTATAATTTTAAAATTCGTACTCAAGCTCACACACACATTCTCATTTTTAATCTCAAACAACAACAATTGTGAACAATTTCATTTTTTTATTTTCAATTTTATATGATTTTAAAATGTTTGCAAACGTCAGAAAAAAATCATGGCCGACGAATTGAGAGAATGGTTTTACCTTCTAATGTTTTTATCATGGTAATAGGAGTGCAGCAATACATACATACATACATATGTATGTTTGTACATATGTACATAGAAAAAATATTTTTAGATATTCATACAAAAAATTGTTATTTATTTCAATTCAATTTATTTTCACTTTGTTTGAATATTGTAATGTCAACACATATATCAGAACAAGTATTCACTCAAATTCAAAAAAAAAATTTGAAGCCGAAGTCATTCATTTGTTTCGCATATGAATAATTCATAAGCCATTTTGAATAAATCCTCTAGTACGTACTATCGAATAAGTGGATAGTTCACCGCAAAGATTTTTTTTTTTTGACATTTGTATAGCATTAAAAATCCACGAAGTTCGATCTAAAATTTCAAGGCTAGATCAAAACTAGAATTGCTTAAGCTTGCCTGGTCACACTGGTATTTGCATGTTATTTAACACAATGTATAGCTACGAGTAAAATAATAGCAGTAAAATTCAGAAAGATGCTGCTGGTAATTTGTGCTTATTTATTTATTGTTAATAATAAAAGCTTGCTTGTTCATCAAAAGTTCGATTTTTTTAAATTAGATTTTATAGAAAGATTTTGAGTATGCAATTTTGTTTTGTAAGTTTCAAGTCGCTATTACCGTTATTTTTTAGAATTTCAGTTATTTTTATATGGAATAAAATGCACACACCCTCGACAAAAAAAATTCTAAAAAATCAACAGTAAATTTAGATACTTAAAAATTGCACTTTATTGTACTAAAATTGAATGGGCTGCAAAACTTCATAATCAAAATGTTTCTAAAAAATCGAATTAAAAAAATCTAAATTTTGCTTAACATTTTTTTAAGTTTAATTAGTTTTTGTGAACTTTGTGCAAGCTTTGAAACTCTTATTTATGCGGTTTCTGATACAGATCGACTCCTTGCTTAGATGAAAATTATTAACAATAAATAAATAAACTTAAGTTACCAGCAGAATCATTTTGAATTTTATTCGCAGCTATACATACATATGTATGTGTTAAATAACATGCAAAGATCAGTGCGACCAGGATAGCATAAGCAATTCTCTTTTTACTCTAGTCTCGAAAATTTAGGTCTAACGTCGTGGATTTTTAATGCTACCCTTTTTGTAAGTAATTTTCATATGTTCGGCACGCTGAAAAACGTCCGATTCTATATAAATGTCAAAAAAAATTTGCGAATAACTATCCACCTATCCTTATTGCTTTTTTCTACCCGGAAAAGTGTGACTAATAAGACCAATCAACACATTTAGGCAGCGCCTTACGTTTGGAAGTTGTATTGGAAGACCTTTCACTCGCTCTGCTATTTGGAAGCAGACAACGGATAGTGGTTTTTCAAAGAAACGGATGTCTAATAAAGATTGGAGAAAGCATATTGCGGTGTGTCTGAAGCTAAGTTAAGTTGGTCCTGCGTCAGAATTCAATATTTTGTGAAAATTTTCTTCTTTTTCTTTCTTTCAAGAGAAGCCGATTTAAATAGATGGCTTGAAACTTCCATACAAAAAAAAAACAACTAGGAGTACAGAGTCGCGCAAGGAGGGTATATCGCTTTAAGAGACCAGACAAAAGGCCTTTAAGGAAGGCCGAGAAATTTTGAGCGAAAATATTTAAAAATGAATTTAATATTCACTTGAATTCGTAGAGGTGCTGGTAAATTTTTGGGCATACAAGTGTTGAGTTTTTTAGCTTATCTGTTCACTACCTTCAACTTTCTCCAGCCTTTTTTTTGACACATCTGGTAACACTGGTAAAGATCATTGAACCCTTTAATAATTTATCTTTCCCCCCACTTTTCTGTATACTCACCGTAATTTTAATTTTTGTCTGCAATCCTCTAAATTCCTGGCGATATACCTCAGTAATAGCTGTTACTGCATGCTTAGTCGCTGGATACACATTCATATTTGGTATTACCGAGTGACCCGCAACGCTATTAATATTCACCACATGTCCGTCAAAATTGCGTTCCTTCATCGATTTAAAAGCGCGTTGTGTACAATAAACCACACCCATTATATTGGTTTGTACAACTTGTTGTAGCTCTACAGGATCCAAAGTAACAGCTTGACCCGTTTTAAAAACGCCGGCATTATTCACCAATATATCAACGCCATCCAATTCGTTGATAATCCAATTGAATGCTTGATCAACCGATTCCTGTGATGTTACATCGCATGTATAAGGATGGAACCGTTTCTGTTGTTCAGCTGGCAATTCAGCTTTATATTCTTCCATATGCTGCAGTCGGCGGGCAAGTCCCACCACAACGAGATTAGCTTTAAGTAAATCCTTGACTGTGGCAGCGCCAATGCCTGAACTAGCACCAGTAACTACAGCGACACGACCTTGCCAACGTTCCATTATGATTTCCAATGTGTAGAAGAAAAAAAATTAAAGTAGCTGTGTTTCCAATGGGAAGTATAGTACTGACCGGATTTTGCTTGGTTTAACGAATTTTATAGCACACAACTATTTGTGAATACGCATGTCATGCAGGCCTACCTCGTAATCATATCTAAGGATCTCTTATCAGTTGAGGATCTGACACCGGTGCTATCGAGACTGGTGCGTTTACGTTACTTAATCAATAACGACAAACAAAAACATTGAGATATGGGCTTACACCTGTATGTATGTACATATATTTATAGTTACCTTAGTAGTTGGTAACGATCTACCAGTGATAATGGTTTCTTTTAAATGGCATTTTTGGATTGATTTCTTTTTCTTTATGCTCATATATTTGTACATTGTACAGACATATGTACATATCTACATACCGTTACCTTAGTATAGAAAGGTCCCATATAACATCTTGATAACTTTGCATAGTAACGAAATAATAAATTACGGGATACGGGATGAAATTATGTAATGCGTGTTGTCTAATTTAGTTATAAAAAGGTCCAGCTCTGTAATATTCAGTGCGGATGCTACAAAGAAAGGCGAATAAATTGCCAACCACTCATCGACCTCTCAATGTTTGTGCAGTGTTTCCTCAATTACAGTAACAATATACTATACTACATAACATATATATACTTACAGTAACAATATAATAAATTCCAACTTCTCTAGCTCTAATGCTCTATTGGGAAACCAAACACAAATTATGACAGATGAAAATCTCAAGTTACCAATTGAGACCCACATTCCATGCGTTCTGCCTGCTGACCTATTCAACTTCTACTACTTACCTGTTTCCATGCTATATTGATAAGCGATTTAAGTATTTATTTGTCAACAGCTGGGAGGTGTAAAAATTCAAGTTCACTAGCTCTATCAAAACCAGAGCATTTTAAGTTACTGACCCCCCGTATTTGTGCTAGTGTAGGCAGTCTTTTCGATACGAAGCGCTGCGCAGAACTGCAGACTACCATTTCATGTCTTCTTAACACCAACTTCACAACGAAATTCAAATTATAGCATTGATGGAGCTAAAGTTTGTGTTTTCGAAGCAGTGCCTCTTGGGAACCTGATAACCATTCCGGCAACGCTTTGCTTCGTAACGATCCGCCGACTCGACAGTTTAGATCATGATTTTATAAAGCAAAATATACATATCGTTGGTGAAATGTGGAAAGGCGCTAACTGACATTTTTTTCGAAAAACCCATCTTTCCTAAAAAATTTAGAACCGTAACTCAAAAATTAGCGAAGTTATGTCACTTTTTACACTCAATCCCGTGAAAAAGCATGTTTTTGCCTTGTTGTCCGTTTCTAACTCACGCATTTCATAATACTAGTGTTCGAACTTCAACAAAATGGAGTGGTTTTGGGGTTTCCGTAGTGTCGGAGTAAAAACGTTGGCTATTTGTGTTATAAACACACACTTGCTACTATATCTGCGTATTAAAGAAAGTTCAACGACCTTTCATCAAAACTTTAAACTTTTTAATCAGAATATTTGAATAAAATTCTGGTATGCAGTTTCACAGCGCATTCAGTTTTCGTATAATAATTCGCTTGGATTTTTAATATTTTTTTGCAGACGATTCTACCCTTTTTCTACATACAAAGCAGAAGCGAAATGTTTTTTACATGGAAAAGGGTTTATTTTCTTTTTCGTTTATTATAGGGTTTATTGCCTTTTTATAATCAGCACCCGGATTCCAACATTTTCTGTTGCTAATTTGGATCGCCAAAAATCACGCAACATCTAGATATTTGCCCCTCATACTGCCAGATTTGGCTGATTATACATTGCAGTTATTACTTTTTAATTCAGTATACTTTTAGGTCCCACTGCTTTTTATTTAGGGAATTTTCACGACGAAAATTTAGCGTAGCGATTGTGAGAATTCCACTGCGGGAAACATTGAAAAAGAATTTTTTGTGGGTTCTTCCCACCGAGCTTGGTACTCGGTAACTCGGTGTTCGGTATTTTCCCCCCATGTATTTTGTTTGTGCAATATTATTTTATAAGAAGACAATACCTAAGGCTTTTCTTTAAGGTTTTACTTAAATTTAACAATTTTTATTGAGCTCGAGGCCGTTTTTTAATGAAAGTTTTTTATTGTGGAAAAGCAACAATAATTTGAAAAAATGGTACAAGTGATAGCTATTTCGGAAATCACCACACTTCCTCATCAGACTTCTTTCAGTAGGATTCGAACAGACGATCACCACTGACTCAGCCAGTTGCCTACGCACTGTGCTAAGTTTGTCTTGTTAATTATCGTTTGCTTTTTTCCACTATTTTCATTTTTTGTTATGCCAACACAAGGTTTTACATAACGTTGGAACTTTTTTAAACTGTACTGTAAAAAGTAATAAGAAAATAGTTTTATTATAGTTTCCATGTTCCAAATAATGTTTGATATGCGCAAGAAACTAATACAACAAAAGGAGCAATCGTTTTATGGGCATATCGCCGGATCGTTAAGTACCACTTGCGATAACATGATGGAGTATAAGTTATTTAAAAAGAGGGTTGACGTTTTTTTGACAAGTTTTGTTAGTTATCTCGAAAATAACTTTCAGTTTAATAGCAACAAAATTGGGTAATTGAATGGCTTCTGTTTATAACTATCGATTCTTTTTTCTCAATTTATTGACATTGTAGAAGAATTTTTCGTACAAAACATGTAGTTCTGAAAAAGTAATTTAAGCCATGAGGAAATATATATGAAGTCCTTGAAGAGTGGTACGTTTCCATAGTATATGTAATTTGGTTTTTTTTTCAATACCACACTCAAACGAAGCAACGGGAAGGACGTTAAGTTAAAGTTTGCTTCCTGGCGCAAAGAGGGAAACCCACTTCTAATTAAAAATTTTGTGAGCTTCAAATTAAAAGTAATTAAAAAAAATGTATAGAATCATCAAATATACACCAAATGACACCTAATCTTTCAATTTGGCACAAAGTGCCAAAATGGCACTTTTCAAAAATAAATTGTAATATTTCAATACATTTTTGTGAAATCCTTTGCGTGTACTTCTTTTTCTCAACTCAAATTTTCTAATTTCTAAAGATTATTCAACTGGTTTATCTTATTTTGGCATTGCACTTTTGTTTTAGAAATGTGGTTATTATTTTTTGCTAAATGGGAAGGATTAAAATGGAAGGCACCTTCTTTGGCACTTTTATTTTCTATTTGGCACTTTTTTATTCTCAATATGGCACCTCACAGCTAAAGATAGTTGGCAGCCCTGTATAGAATCTTTGAATATTTAAATAATGAAAGTGGAAATGATCTCACTATTGCTATTAAAATGTGTCATAAATATAAAATAATTTAATGGCTCCTGTGTAAAATGATATTATAAGGGCATTCTTATACTACATGTCAGTGTGAACACTCATGTTAAAATGAATAACATTTATATTTTTTGTGAACTATACTTTATTTTTGTACCAAAATATTGTTAAATACAAGTACTCTGGCGTTTGTAAGAATTTTCTGTTACTTACATTCATAATTTTGCTTTGAATAAAAGTGTACGGAAAAGTACTAATTTTTATAGCATGAAAAATCCTAAGGTACTGATTTCGCGTACATAAAATCTGGCAACCCTACTAGAATTATATTTTTGCAGCATAGTTAAGGCGCAAATTTATTGACAAATAGTCAAGCTTGACAATTTATCAAGTGCACGGTATCGGGGGGTTAATATACGGTCATTCGTTTTTATTTCATAGTAAATATTTAATTATGATAATCACAAAATCGGAGTGTTTTTACAAGAGAGGAAGTGACGTAGTGATCGGCTTAAAAAAGGAGTGAAATGCTCCGAGCGGAGTGAAAACGGCAACGATGAAGTTGAGGTGGGCTGAGCTGAGCTAAGTTGCGGTTAGTTGATTTAATCGAAGTGAGTTGAGGTGAAATTCGTTAAACAACATAACAGAATACATGGGCGTAGCCAGGTAGGGGCAGGGGGGTGCTCGAGCCCCCCCTAACTTTCAAATTTTCCTTATATATATATAAAATAGTACCCTGAAATGCCAGCTAAATAGGGTCGCATAGTAAGAAAAGCTGTCATCAAAGATTTTAATTTATATAGAGAATATGTTATTATTTTATGTTCCAGCAACTAGAATAAGTACCAGCAAATGGGACCAGTCCGGTGAAAATTTCGATATATTTCCTATAAATATTAGAGAAGGCACCGATTCGTTTGTCATTCGCATGGCAATTCGATCGAAATTACCTACAAATGAGGTAATTCGCTCTAAAAATTTTGTTTGGCGAATCACGCAATTGGAAGGGTAGATGGATGGCGAATTACGAATAGGAGATCGAATTACGAATCGTGGAAACGTTGTATAACATATGTTGAAGCACCAATCTATTTTTATTATTAGTCACGAACTGGTCCCGAAATGACCCCAAAAAAGTCCCGAACTAAGACCGAAATGGCACGGAACTATACCAACGAGCAGTGTTGCTAGAACAGCTGATTATATTTGTTTTCATTTCGGAAGTAAGATGTTTATAAATAAATACATTTTTTATGAACTCATTTACAATGCATTTTTAATTTTATTAAAATTCGGTTGCATTTTATATTTGAACATTATATAGGGTATTCCTATGCATATCTATTACTTATATACACATATGTACGTGAATTCATTTATCGAGCTTGTATGATCCAAACGTCGATTATTACGATTATTTACATTCATACATTGTTGTATGTCTACATAAATATATTTAGTTTATAAAGTTTTTAATTACTCGCCCAATAAGGGTTTTACGGTGATTTCATGGACTTGCATGTGTGGCGGTGTCGAAAGGGTGAACAAAATGCAGCTAGAAACGTCTTTTGGCTTCAAAATTGGTGGAGCGGATTTTTTATAGTATTCCGGAACGAGTTCTGTATCGACCAAACCGGGGCTAACGCTCTAAAATAAAAATTAATCAATTAATATAAGTATGTAATTATGAACATATGTATGTATGATATGTATCCTAGAT